AAATTTTCCCGAGGAAAGAATTCTTTTCAGAGAAAGTTTTATTCAAATGGGGCTTGTTTTTGAAAGGGGGTAAGCACTGCAAAAAGATGTTGTAAATGAAGAGTGGATACTTAAAAATTCCAAGGAACTTTTGAAATTTTTGAAATCATAAAATTTTACAAAAATCAACAACTTAAAAACGTAGGACTTTCTAGACAGATGTTTTTTTTTCAATAAAAAATGAAAGTCGTAATATTACTTACATTGTCATTGGTCATTTGGAAAATTATTTTGTTTAAAACATTCTGATTGTGCACACAAATTAAAAAGATGCTTGAATTTCTGATTGACATAAACTATGTAGGTTTTCCAACAACCTACTGGAATTTCAATGGGTTCCAATTGCGCCCCGTTATTAGCAGACCTATTTTTTTATTCACGTGAAGCAGAATTTGTGCAAAATCTTATGCATGAAAAGAAGACAACACTTGCTGTGGCCTGCAACTCGACAGCAAGATATATCGACGACGTATTGTCAATTATCAATGGTAATTTCCATTCTTATATCGATATGATATATCCCGATACGCTTGAGATAAAAGATACTAACGATTCTGACAAATCTGTTTCATATTGAGATATTTTACTTGAAGAAAACGTTAATGGTTATCTAACTACAAAGCTTTATGATAAACGTAATTACTTTATATAATTATAAATCATCAACTTCCCTTCCTTATGTAGCAATATACCCTCATTACCTGCATTAGAGGTTTATATAGCTCTCAGTTTATTTGATAGGCAAGAGCGTGCTCTACGTATGAATAATTTCTAAAACGGGGAAAATTATTGACAGACAAATTACGGAATCAAGAATATCAGCAGTCTCGTTTAGAGTCATTATTTTGTTAGTTCTATGGTCGATACAATTTTTTTTTAAGCAAATACAATATATCATTAAGTCAAATCCTGACTGACGTTTTTCATACTAATTTTAAGGCCATATTATAAACAAACTGAATTGTTGACTAATTATTTCGTTATTTCCCGATCATGACAAGGAGTACACGGTGGGTGTGACTGACCGACATGGGATGTTCACTCCTCCATGGCAGCTGATCCAACCTTTAATTTTTTGTCGGCCCGCATTTGCTCTGCTTCAATTTTGTAATAGATTTTCATGAACTTTTGAGTTTGAATATTTTTAGTTATCTCCATATATTTCATTCAATAACTAAATGAAATTAGTTATAGAACTTAACTTGTTCAAGTAGGTACAAATAACTGCGCATGCCGTATACATGATATACATCTGTTTTTTTAAATTCAAGTTAGTACAAATATCTGCCGTATATATATGATAGAACATATAGAGAAAACGAACAGTATTCAAGAACAATAGTCCATAAAACAATACAAAATAGGAGCAAAGCACACACAAACCTCCAAAACATCAGAGGTGGGATCAGGTGCCATGGAGGAGTGGGCATCCCCTGCTGACCGGTCACACCGTCGTGTGCTCCTTGTCATGCATGGGAAATAACAAAAAAATCCGTCGTCAATTCAGTCTATAAGTAATGGCCTAACAATTTGTATGAAAAACGTCAGTCAGCATTTGACCCAATGATAAATTATATATGCTGATAAGGTCATTGTATCGACCAAAGAACTTACGAAATGATGACTTTAAACGAGACTGTTGATTTTCTTGTTTCATCAACTTGTTTGTCAATAATTTACCTCGTTTCAGAAATTGTCCATACGTAGAGGATGCTCTTGCTTATCGAATTAACTGGAGTATATAAACTCCTTGTGCAGGTGATGAAGGCAAATTGCTGCATAAGTAAGGGAAGTTGAAGATAGAAAAGTAAAAGTCATCACGTTAGAACTTGGTTATAAGAGTACCATTAACGTCTTTTTCAAGTAGAAAATCTAAAATATGAAACAGGTGTGTCAGACTCTGTTGTATCTTTTATCTCAAGCTCAGCAGGATATATCGTGTTGACACTTAAGAATGGAAATTCCCATTGTTAATTAACTATACTAACATTTTTTTATTTCAAAAGGCTAAAATAGTGCTTTTAAGTTTGAATACTGCTTGTTATCTTCATATATTTCATATAAAAGAAGGGTTACTGAAAAAAAAAAATGTGAAAGAATGTGAAAATTGGGATTTGTAATTGTGGGGATAACCATCGTGAAAATGACATGTTCCCTTTTCCAATTGTTCGGCAATTTTAACTGACCATTATTTATCTCCAGAAGTATGTCTAGACTGTTTTCAGTATGATAAATATTTTATCTACAGAATAGAACTACCCTATAATGATTCTCTCATGCCCAGGGATAAAAAATATTATGTTATAAATCTCATTTATCATTTAATGCTCAAATTTCTGAAATAAATGTTTGATTTCTTGACACATAATCGTCGTTAATCGTTTACATTTCTCATTTGATACAAAAAATTGTCCATCGCCCTGTGTGAGATGCTGATTTACTAGCAGAAATGGATTTAAAATATGTTTGATAGACTGAAGTCAGAGCTTAATGATTATTTATTTTCTCTTAGCTCCTACCTCCCTTTAAAGAATAAAATGGAAAAGCATCATGAAAAAGAGAAACAAAAGATTCCCCTAGATACTAGTAATAAGGGGTGTTATTTGAAAAAAATTATTTTCATTATGCTACGAATTTACATGTTTTACATATATCAAGTTAATAGCTGCCGTGGTGAAATCACAAAAATAAAAAAATATAGGTAATGTAAGTGTATTTTATTTGAATGTTCATGTGGATTAAATTTCAGATTTTTTCATGAAGAATAGGAAGAAAGATATTTACGTATGATTTTTATTACTAGTATCTATTTGAAACCTATCTGACCATTAAAAATTCTCAACGTACTCTCAGTATTAAACGATAAAAATCTTACACTTAATTTTTTTTTTTTTATAATTAAGGAACTCAAATAAAAAAAACATACACCAACGACGTTTTCCTATATGTATTATCGTCCTCAGTATTAAGCACTTTGTTAGTAATCGCACAAAACTGGAAAGTTTTTCGGGTAGTTTTATCTAGTTTCAGTGTTAAAAACCCAACTCTGGCATTGCCTAAATACATATTGGTTCCATGGAAACTATCTGATATCCTTTCTAAAACATTCAATATCCTCTTAGAAATTTAAACTATAATCAGTATAATCCCGAAGATTTTTTTCCGAACAGGGTTTTTAAAGACAAACATTACATCATTTATAGTTTACCACCTCCAGACCTCTCCCCATCTCATCAAATATGAAGACTTATCTAAACAATGGAACTTAGCAAATCATTGAAGGATTATTCTTTACAGGATTTTATTTTATTTTTTTTTTTTTTACAAACGATCCTTGCTTTCATAAGCAAATGGATTAAAACTCATGCGTTGGCTCTAACGTCTGTTGTACATTAATTTTTTTACTAATATTATCTTTATAGAAACCCCATCATCAGAATTTTAATGATAAATGTTATAAAAATTTTATTGTACAGGTAAAGTATCCTAATTTATTTAATCTACTTTTATCTCTTCAAGGTAAAGGAAAACAAAATTTCATCCTTTCAAGGGATCTGCACCTAGTAAACAGTTCCATTTGGAAAATATTTGCCAGATCATCAAGATGTGATCTTAGGCAAAACATCCCTGGGATTATGCTAAATTAAGTATACATGGTAATGGAACTCTATCTATATCATTGGACTTTCAGTTAGCTAAAATGGTATTGAATTTCTCAGACAAGCTTTATTTTTCTCATAAGCGGAAAAGAGAAAATTCTTAAGGTTTTTTTTAATACCTATCAAATAAAAGATGTTTTGTAGTTGCAAACTGTTCCTAGACTTAATTTTCATTCTCAAAGTTATGCAGACTTTAAATTTATCTTTTTTTTTGTGTGTTTTTAGGAAATCAATTTTAAGCATATCAATTACCGGTAACACATTTAACGATGACAAAATACAAAATTAAATTAAAAAAAAAATTAAAAAAAAAAACGAAAGAATAAAAGGAACGAACTAAAACATTTTTTGTCAGTGAAATGTGTGGTCAACAACCATAGGTTTAATATTTATTTTCTTGTTTTTTTTATAGCTTTATTTATTCATCAAATGACTCTGTATACTGAATTAAATCGCATTTATTTTACTGATGATGTAGCTAGTAACAATATAGCTGTATTTTCTTAATTCATACGATGTATTGAAAAATGCAGTTCTAAACGATATGTATAACGATGATTTTGAGGAATTTAATTGCTTATGTCTTCACGCGCACTTCTCGCACATTATACAGCAGAAAGAAAATCGGTGAATTGCAAAAACCAGAGCTTTTATTTTTTTGAATTGTTTTTAGGCATCAGTTGTTACTCACTAATGAAAAACTAATGAACTCGGTAATGGGAATGAAACAAATCGTCTATAAATGATGATTTGCCATTTAGCTCAATTTTACAATGTTTCATGGTAAGCCATTATTACATTTTTTATCATCAGTTTCCTGTGGTGGTACGGATTTATTTTTGACGATAACGAATTGCCAGTTAACCCTGATCTGCTTTATTAATGATTTTTATGATTATTAAACGACTGACCCACATAATCTCGTTTGATCCACCTTCCTGTTTTAGAGGGAAATATTAAATTGACTGGCACTTGAGACGGTCCGCCCGATTATTTAGGGATTTCGGCCGTCACAGAAACTTGTTTTACATGTCAACTCAAACCTGAGGCCCAGGTTTCGTGATCCCCCGGCGCCTTACACTACCAGGTAGTCGGGGGCACGTTTTGACACATTACAATTTAATTTAATTTAATTGAAATGTGAAAATTACATAATTTTTCTTTTATTATCAAAATTCTTTTAAGAAATACAACATGCTCATAATCAAATAGCGCTTGAATTAAAGAACAAATCTAAAACTTCTGAATAGTTCAGATGTAGAAAAAAAATAAGTATTAAGTATTTAATTTAGATTCACCCACCTTATTAAAAAGTGATGTTAAGAGTTCTTTTTGTGGTCATCGCTCCCAAAATTCAGCATTGTCCGTACCCATGATTTATTTTTTCACAAGCCGTTCCTCATATCATATCAGTGAAAATTATTATCGGCACCAATCATAAGAATTCCCTCTATAATTTCAGCACAGCATTTCAAAAATTGTCTTAATACCTGAGAAATGTTTTACTAGTGTTGCATTTGTTTCAATTTCTCTGTTTATGTTTGAACATCTTGACAGGTGCGCGCACATTGCTGTCGGAGCGTGACGCGTCGAGATGTGGAGGATGATTTGAAAAGTGCTATTGACTTCTTGATTAAAAAGTAGATAGAGCTTAACCCTGCTGTCACAGAGAGTTAAAGTGAAGCGGAAATTCTCTCAGTCCGATTGGTACACCATATCAGGCACGGGACAAAAACACCACCACTATTACGTAGTGTGTCAAATGAATTTTAAGAATCATGTTGAAGTTAAGTGTTTCGTAGTTCATAAATCCTATGAAAGACAATTATGCTTTATTCAAGAAGCCTAATTCGATGTTAAGGCCCCTCCATGTCTAATTTTCAGCTGATGTCGATGCAAGCTAGAAGTTTCAAAAGAAGATTAAACGGAATAAATTTGTGTCGTGCATAAAAAATCTCAGAATCCGAGATATTTAAAAAAAAACCCATGAAAATAGGTACAGACTTCAAAAACATCAGAGGTGGGATCAGGTGCCATGGCCGAGTGAGCATCCCTTGCCGACCGGTCACCACCGTCATGTGCCTCTGAATATGAAAATAAAGAAAAAATCCGTAGATACTTCAGTGTGTATATAATGGCCTTCCACTTAGTATGAAAAACGTCAATCGGAATTTGACTTAATGTGATAGATTAAATTGCATTTTCGACAAGGTCGTTTTCACTCATTTTCCAAAATATAGGGTGACCTTTGAGTACCAAGCTTTTTTACCGTCAAACGTCTCTTAAAAACAGTGTAAAATACTCCTGATATGATGTCCATCAAATTAGCTATGTGTCTTAAAGTCAATCATACATCAACAAATATTATTTATTGAAATTTGGCGACCAGTAAATAAGTTGTTATAAATTTTGTTGGCAAGGAGGGTACCCATTTTTGATGCCCATTATATAATTTTTTTATAATTGAAATCCACCTGCTCTTTTGTCTATAAAACAGGCATTATGTTGTACATGAAAGATTCAATAATGAGAGAAGGTCAAGTTTAATGTCATATGATATCTGTAATGTATGTCATATAGTTCAGGACATTATTTATTGAACAGCCCTCGTACACTCGATCTGTCCTTTTGAAACTTTTGAAATTAGTCTTCTTAAAAAAGTCTAGGAAAATCAATATTTAATTTCACAAGAATACACAGGCTCGGATGTGTGATAATAGCTATTGCAAATCATGGGCTTTTTAAACAGTCATGTTTTACGGAAGAAAATTTTGCTAAAACAACTCGTTTTTTTTAGTATAGCTTCAATAAGCCCACAAAGGAACTTACGCGATTAATATAAGAAATATTCTTACTCGCAGTCTTGTATTGCACCATATGTCAAGTTAAACACCACACATTATATTTGTTACAAATGTACATTGCCAATTCTTCGAAACTTTTTAATTAAAAAAAATAATATTACAAGGAATACAACCCGGGGTAAATCCCCGTACACCCTTGATTGAACCTGGATAAGAAATTTATTTCCTTTGTACCCATTAAAAAACTTTTTAATTTAAAAAATCAAAAACACTGAAATATGATCCTCCTACGTGTTCGTATTCTTCTTCACCCTAGAAATACAAATCTGCTGGACAATTCATTGCTGGTGACGTAAACATTGTTAATGATGAGGACCTTAAATTACTTATTTAGGGAATCTCGATCTTTCAACTGGCGTCAAAATTTCATAGTAAATTTTATGTGGAAGACGGTCAGCAGTAGATACTCACTCGTCCATGGCACCTGATCCCACCTCTGATGTTTTAGAGGTTTGTGTTTGCTCTGCTCCTGATTTGTATTGTTAAATGGGCTTTTGAGCTTGAATACTGTACGATATCTCCGTATATGTTTGATGTACTCATCCCAGCTGACAAAGCAGGGAACAACAATGTCGGCTCCTTGTTTCAGTATATTTTTGAGGAACTTGGATTTAATTCGACTAGCGGTAATATTAGTTATCCAGGTGTACGGGGATTTACCCCGGGTTTTATTCCATAATATTACATGGAATACAACCCGGGGTAAATCCCCGTACACCCTTGATTGAACCTGGATAAGAAATTTATTTCCTTTGTACCCATAAAAATGCTTTGTAAACATCAGAGTGTGTCTCAATCTATCGATAAGATAACAACGTACTACAATGTATCGTGACGTCATGTTATTTGGTTTTTATCATAGAAAATGTATGCATTGTGACGTCACGTTTTATTTACACCCGGCTCAAATCGGGTGCACGGAAATTTACACCCGACTTTGTAACCAATCAAAGCTCGTGTTACAAGCTAGATAGGAAATAATCAAATGTATTCCCATAGTGAAGGATATGGAAATAACGAACGGTATTCAACATCAAAGTCCATAGAACAATACAAAATAGGAGCAGAGCAAAAACGGACCTCTAAAACATCAGAGGTGGGATCAGATGCCATGGAAGAGTGAGCATCCCCTGCTGACTGGTCACACCCGCCGTGTGCTTCTTGTCATGATAGCATTCTTTCTAAGGGGAGGATTTCTTCAAAATCGTGTGTCAGATTTTAATATCTTTAATATTCCCAGAAACCAAAATGAATTTGAATAACCATACCTTTAAAGGATTCCGTGATTTCATAAAAATCCTTACCAAAAAAAAAAAAAAGATACATAGCGGTTTCAGTAATTGCTCTACCAAGCCCTTTTGCATATTACTCTTTACCAAAATATTGACAACAGGGAAGAAAAAACACTGGGAATACTGTACAACAATATATTCGAGAAGTGTTGTAAATCAGATGTAACTGCAGAACTGTAGCTCACTGAAAAATATATACTGACAGAATAGGGATCTTCAGTGCCAACCATTGAAAAAACTGTATATTTATTGCGCACAAAAAATCACGCTTGGTTCTGGATTAATTCTTCCAAATTCTTACATTCATTGCGAAAAAGCTCAATTTCAAAATATTCCTTACTCCTTTATCAGGTACTCTAGTAGTTGACTTCTGCACGAAGCGCGTTGGACCGAACTGTCTTGCAAACCAAAATGGCAGTGGTTTGTTGTGGAAACAGTAAAAGTATACATGTATGTTGGGAACACGCGGTTGGTAATATTTTGAGGGACAGTTTTAAAAACACGGAGAAATAAATCAAAAAACAGCGCACTTTTTTGTGCGCAAGAAATATACAGTTTTTTTTTCAATAGGTGGTACCATAGCTCTCCTGTCAATATATTTTTTTTTTCGGAGAGCTACATTTCTGCAGCTAAATCAGATGGAAATGCTTAAAAATTTAAATTCACAGTTTTTACCAAAATTAATAACATCAAAACTTATGACTATTCAACTCTATGTACAACCATTCCAGCGATAAATAAATTTATGATTTTTTACATCGTTGACACACGGCTTTTACGATGTAATTGGAATCTGTATATTTACTAACCTTCTCACTGGTCATTTGCAAAGTAATATTGTTAAAAAATTGTATTCTGAAGTTGATATTAACAGAAGTAAAGGAGAAACGTCAAGAGTACTGTGCAACAATATATTCAAAAGGTAGTATAAATCAAATGTTGATACTTTTGAAAAATTTGAAATCACAAGATTTTACCAAAATCAACAGCTTAAAAGCTTACGACTTTTCAACTTTATACACAACCATTCCCAACGATAAATTAACGTCCAGACTTTTTGATATCATTGACAGCAGCTTTTTCAAAAAGAATAGAACTCGTAAATTTACTTAACTTATCATTGCTCATTTGCAAAATTATTTAATAAAAAAAACACCATTCTTATTGTACACACAAGTACTCTGAAGTTGACATCAAAAAGATGCTCGAGTTTCTAATTGAGAATATCTATGTGGTTTTTGGAGACCAGATCTTCCAACAATCTATTGGAATTCCCATGGGAACCAATTGCGCCCCGTTATTAGCAGACGTATTTATGTATTCATATGAAGTAGGATTTGTTCGAAATCGTATGCATGAAAAGAAGAAAATCTTACAGTGGCTTTCAACTCGACTTTTAGATATATCGACGACGTATTGTCAATTAACAATGGTAATTTCCATTCTTATTTCGATACGATATATCCTATATCTTTTATATAAAAGATAAAAAGATACCACAGTCTGACACATCTGTTTCATAATTTAGATATTTCACTTGAAAAAGACGTTAATAGTAATCTAACAACAATACTCTATGATAAACGTGATGACTTTAACTTCAATCGTCAACTTTCCTTACTCATGCAGCAATGTACCTTCATCACCTGTATACTGGCGTTTATATATCTCGGTTGATTCGATGCGCAAGAGCATGCTCTACGTATGTACAATTTCTAGAACGAGGTAAATTATTTACAAATAAGTTGATGAAACAAGAATATCAGCAATCTTGTTTAAAGTCATCGTTTCATCATTTCGTAAATTCTATGGCCGATACAATGACCTTGTCAGCAAATACAATTTATCACTGAGTCAAATGCTGACTGACGTTTTTCATACTTATTATTGATCCATTACTTACGGACTGAACTGACGACGTATTTTCCCGTCATTTCCCGATCATGACAAAGAGCGCACGGAGGGTGTGACCAATCGGCAGCTGCAGGGGATGCTTACTCCTCAATGGCACCTAATTCCATCTCTGATGTTTTGGAGGTCGGTGTTTGTTTTGCTCCTATTTGTATTGTTTTATGGAATTTTGATTTCGAATACTGTTTGTTATCTCCATATATTTCATGCATATGTATGACTGTTTTTTCCAACCCATTCGAGAACTTTTCATTCATTCTTCACCAGATATCCGTGAAAGCCTTCAAATTTTGACCTTCAATCAGCACTCAGGGCCATTGAGCAGTGAGGGTTTATCGTGCCAACGCCTGGGTTTTTAAGGTCACATCCGAAGAACCTGCAAACTTCACTTCAAATTGCCGAGCGCATGGCGAAATCACAGTTGCTATCCATATTTTAACGACTTAGGGCAGTCGCAGCCGAGATCCGAACATACCCGAACCCTGGATCTTTTAAATCTTCAATTTTTGATGAACATGCAGCTTTAAAGTATCAGAAAGAGAAAATAAGAAATCTAAGAATGGCATACGCTGGAAGATTGAAATTTGGAGTAAGATAAGTAAGAATTTCTACAGAAAATTTCACTAAGAAAATGTGTTCGCTTTGCATTAACTTACATTGCAGTTTACAAGGAGAGCGCCTGGAGCATTTTATTTTCCCTTTAATTGAAAGTGATTTTT